TCCGTCTAACTAATTCTGTTTTCTCCTTTGACGCACTGGTTTGTAGATGCACTACGCCTTTCAAGCTGATGTCTCTGTACCATCGTCGTCACTCGCCAAGATTTTCCATCAAATTGTGACTGGCCTATCGGCAAGTGTTTGTATTCATTATTATGTTTTATAATTCCTCATACTTTATCTTCTTCTTTGTTTCACCGTTGGTCATGACTGGGATGATCTCTTGTGGTGACGGATTACAGCTTCCAAAATAAAAAAGTATACCCATGCAAATCATATTACTACTGACTCGCTGGCTTAAAACAAAAAGTGCCATAATTGATTGATCCGCATGACAGAAAGAGCTGAGGCTTCATCGCCTATAATGTATGCATAAAACAGCCCTAAAAAATAAAAGACGTTTGATACCTAGTTCTGATGGCCTATTTACTATCTTGCCACATAGGCACAGAGCCAATTGGAGCATGGAAGTGCAGGTGAAACCCATCGTGGAAATACCCTGCATGGAAGTAAGTCCCCTGGGGACAGTTCCATGGATGACCGTATTACTTTACTTGAACTTTCCGTGAAATACACATTTATTATTCACTTCAATGGGAATCGCGGTCCACTTTGAGATTACGCGTCGCAATCCATCCACACAACGTGTACTTCAAATTGACTTTCCAATCTACATTTATTATTGTTCTCAGTTTCTTTATCTCTACTTTTTCCAAACTGCTAATCAATCCAAAAACCCATATGGGAACCATTGATCAAAAGACGAATAATTAACTATATTATGCGATCACGTTGTACATGTTGATAAGACCACCTAATTGGTCTGTGCCTCGCACCGCTGAGGAATAAAACGTTTATTTATTTATTTATAACAGTGCTTCTGTTAGGCATCGTCTTGTAGAAGAGACCGCACTTGTCAGTGTTAAAAATGTCGTCATTGTTGAAGCCATTGCTGAAGCTAGAAAATTTTTCGATGAAGTTTTGAACAAACTCTTCAGGCACTTCATTGGATTTACCACACAAACCTTTTTGGGAAATATGTCGTAGTTTGAATTTCTCTAGCCGACCAGTGGATATCTGGAATGCTGAAATTCCAAATACTTGTGAGAAAGGTTTAGCAATTTCTGTAATCATGGGCCTAGAAATGTGAGCGTTAGCTGCCCTCATTTGTTTGAACCAGCGCAGCGTAGCCTCATTGAATTCATCGTGTGAAGTTTTTCGCCACTTCCGCTGTAGATCTCCTCTTTCATTACCGTATTGCTTCAAATTACTCGCGTTTATGTTTTTGGAGGTTGCTAACTGTTGTCTTGCCAACGCCAAAATGCTCGGCCGTTTTTCTTCGGCTACAGCTTTGCAGAAAATGCAGCAGACTAACCATTTGCTTTAAGTAAATAGAATATCCGCTTGTAAGTTAAGGAGAAAAACGAGACCACTTGATGAGCGATTGTTTTCACTGATTCATCCTCACACCATTACAATCATATATAGGGCTAAAAAAGAAAGAGTAAAATCGACCCAGTTAGTATAGGTTGCATAGACGAAAAATCGAAACGGGTTAAGTACATGTTACGGAGTTTGACCTCACGCCATTGACCTCAGTATCCGCCGTTTTCGCGGGCCAGGGAAGCCGAAGAGCATGGACTAGCTTCTTTTGCGAGCATAAGGACGGCTGAAATAATCGAATGCAAATTGCTTCGGCCGTCGCAAATGTACGAAGGCGTTGACCTTCCGATCGATGCGGTGGGACCTTGTATACTACACTAAAGGCACGCTTTAGATGCGCCTGATGCCCACTGTCGACGATTTGAGCCAGAATGGAGCTGCTAATGGCCCCAGTGCCACCTTGATGCAACCAAGGTGGACAATGTTCATTCCCGCGTTTGGACAAGTGGCGCGTCATTCGACCGACATACGTTGCGCCACAGGCGTACTCGAACTGATAAATAACCGTTGAGGCAGTCAGCATGGGCAACCTATCCTTGTTTCGTGAACGGACGGGTGATTCCGTCGAAAAGGTGCACTTTAGCGCAGTTGCTGGGACGGTCGGTTTAATTGCGCCTGAAAGGCTTCGGGTTAAACGCTCAGTAACTGCGTCCCCTTTGAAAGGTAGTCGTATGAATAGCTCTTTCTTTGCCGCCGTTAACACTGGCACATGTTAAGGCTTTTCCCCAAAGCTTCTTAAGAGAAATCTGGCGCGGTACCCATTTTCGCGCAATATATTCTGTACGAACGGCAGCAGTTCCGCATTTAGAGTGTCTTCCGAGCAGATTCGACGTGCTCTCGTGGTAAGACAGTGAATCAAGTTGCGATTATATCTCAGAGGGACGAAGCCGTGGAAATTCGTATACTGGCCAATCCAGGTTGGCTTTTGTAGATCTGCCGCTGAATAGAGCGGTCTGGTCTCCTGGTTAAAAGAACATCAAGATATGGTAGCTAATTCTCGTTTTTCCAAAGGTAAATGCAGTGCGGCATGGACTCGGTTAAAACGGTTAAGAATTTTATATAGGTTAACGTGCTTATCCACCACAAGGGATATGTCGTCCGTGCAGCGATAATATAAGTTAAAAGTGACTATATCCGCCTGCAATTCTGTTCTCTCCACCTTTGCCATGAAGATATCCGCCAGTAGTGGACCAAGGGAGATCCCATGGCCACGCGGTCCTTCTGACGGTAGTATTTGCTATTAATAGGAAGTGTACATTCCAGGTGCGGCGCCGTATAAGGTTTTTTAACTCACGAGTAGGTATACACATTTTTATTTCTGACCGGGTTATATAATCGCAAATGTAATCTATTGTCTCAATCAGCGGGACGTTAGTAAAAAGCGAGATAACATCTAAAGTGAGCAACACTATCCCGTTAATTTTGGCATCCTTGATACTTTCTACGAACTGGAAGCTGTCACGTAGGCTGTAAGTTGCAAGCTGTTGTCGCACCGGTTCCAGAATCTCCACAAGCCACTGTGCGACCGCATGGCAGGGCGAGTTGACCATTAATGAAATGGGACGGAGTAGAATGTTGGCTTTGGGAATTTTCGGTAACCCTTAAAGCCTTGGAACGTTTGTGCCACTAGGTTTGAGACTGTCATACAGAGAATCTGAGATGCACCCCTTAGTCCGAAGTTTTTGCAGGCTCTTAGTTCCGTCCAGCCCATTTCCCCTGTGCTAGATGAAAACTTGGTCTCATGGCTTAATGTTGCTGTTAGTTTAGCACAATCGCCGCACCGTTGTCTGGTCTACGCACGATAACCTCCTCATTGCGCCTTAGTTCCTAGAGGGTATCCAGGTGTTTTCGTGTTAGCGTGCCAAGATTATGGACGCGATGTTCGCGATGTTGACAGCAGGAATTCACCAAAAAGCACTTAAAACGTTCTAGATCCGCATTCGACTTAGCGATTAACCCGCTCGTCTGGTTATATAAACTTTCAAATTGTAACTTAATCAACCTGGTTTTCCTTGCGTCTAGGAGAACAAAACTGTAGGCCAAGCGACAGAACTTCGATTAAAGTTTTATCAATTTTCAAACTAGAAAAGTTGTGCACATACCTCTCTGGCCTGCCCGGAAACGTGGCCTGCGGCTTAAGCTGGTTCAGCGAATGTGCTAGAGAAGAACGCCTACACTGCACACGGTTTCTAGCAATTAACCTGCTTTGCGATGGCCGAAGCAATTTGAATTCGATTATTTCAACCGACCTTATGCTCATAAAAGAAGCTAGTCCAGGCTCTTTAGCGGCCCTGGCCTCCGAAAACGGGGGATACTGAGGTCAAGTGCATGAAGTCAAACTCCGTAACATGTAATTAACAAGTTTCCATTTTTTGCCATGTTACTTGTACTAACTGTGTCGATTTTCTTTTAAAGTCAACTCTCTGAGGTCCTTTTATTGGGCCATAATGTTGAATTATTCGTAATGACCGATCCTAAACTGTTCAAAGCACGGAGTGGAGGTCTACGGTTCTATTTAAGTAACTTCCATTACATACAATAGCTATCCTCAATTGGTGGTCAACACAGAGAGGTGGTCAACCTATAGAGGTCTGGTCCATAGGGTTTGCATAGTGACCGTTCAAGCTATAAAAAAGTGGTCAACATAGAGGTGGTTAACTTTGGTTTTACTGTATGTAGAACTGTTAACAGGTAAATGATTTGGTTGCGAGCTGCATCCGTAGACAGCCGTAGTCAGCCCGTAGCCCTAAGGATAACAAGGCCACCCTGTAATCAGGGCATGAGTTCGAGCCTGTGTAGGGGACCGGAGGACCCTCGTTGTAGCCTTAATCCACGTGCGGCTGTTGATGGTTTCGCACCAGAGAAGCATCAGTACTGCATACCGGCGTACTGCTTATGCTTTGTTTACGTGCTCAAGGTACCTGCCCACCTACCGAACTGAAGCTGGGTTCGGTTAGTGCTTTTCGACTGCCGGGTTGGGGTCCGATATACGACGAACACGTCTGGTTTGAGACACTTGTTGGCGTAGCGGAGAGCCGACCTCAAGGGTGTTTGTGTTATGGGTCACTTCGCACTTCACATTACCGCCTAACTGCAATTTCATCCCCAACCTCAATCTCGATGAACAATATGAAAGCCAAATACAACAATACTTTTATACTTATGTACTATTATTTGACCTTTATCGAATATCATGCTAAAACGTATTGCGACACAACAGCCGAGGTATTGTCCACCTCTAGTTACTGTGCGGAATGATGATGTGATCAAATTGCGGCTGAAAGAACAACACGTGAAAGTTCACAGCCAGAACCACAAAATGAGATAGAAACTGATACAATAGCAGGGATGGGAATGTGGCCAGACAGGGAAACTGCATTTAGCGCCCATCAGCGGGGTCGAAACGGACTGAGAAAGCAGTACTCGATGTCATACAAAAATTGGAATCGGACCAATGAATACCGATGCAGAAAATGACCGTTGTAACACCTGTAGCATTGTCAGCATAATCGCATTAGACGAGTCTAATAATATAAAATCACTTTATGAAAGCAACTTACTGAAGGAAAGTGTGATAAAAAGCGATCAGACAACCATTGGGGACATATTCGAGTGACTGATTCACAGGAGATGACGCAGTGGTGGCCCAAGTGTCATCAACTGTTGACTGCGTTAAATCGGTAGGCCTGCTGAAAGTGCGTACGCGGAAGATCTGTCCAAACAATTCAACCCGATAGATTGGGAACTCCAGTAGGTGTGGAGTAGACAGAGTTGCAATGTCTTCCGTAGTGGTAAACTGGCAACCAGACGTGGCGAACGGTGAGCCCAGGGATTCGGACTGTCCGCGAATGCGACAAACACGTGACGCTTCAACAGCTGTCAGAAGGGAAAATCCCCAAGAATGGAACGAGTAATCAAGAGAATGCAAGGACGAGGTTGGGAGGGTGTGCAACGAAAGCAGCAAGTAGGAGTGAGCATGCAAGAGGAAATAACAAATTGCGATACTGCACCATGGGAGACCAATGAGCTAGGAATGGAAACACGGAAACAGATGTTCATGTAGCACAAGAGTACAGGCGCATTCGTCTCATTATTTAAGCAGGTAAAACAGATACGTCAAACATGCGGCTGTTTGCAAGTGTGTCTGCGGCCCACAAAAAAGTATGGTTGGCGGCATCCGGTTTCTGATTCGTCTGTCACTGTGGCCAGCCACTATATATATATATATATATATATATATATATATATATATATGCATAAGAAAATGTAGCACCGATATTGTGCCACCAGAAAGATGGCGGAATAGGAAGCCGTATTGGAAGAAGAAAAGCAACTTTTTTGCTCAGTATCCCACTCACAGTATGTATATCTAACATGATGTTTTATAAGAAAAGTAAGGGAGGTCATAGCATGGTGAGATACACGGACGCCAGTGACGTCGGTTTTGAGCCATGAATTCCAGGGCATTCAAGCAGCGGCATTCCGCTACGGTGGGGCCCCAACCAGGGATTCGACAACAACCGACGGAGGCCAACTATTTCACGTCGTTTCTCCAAGGTGTAAACTGTCCACCTTCATCAGCTCTATGTAGTAAACCGTAAACAACGCACGACACGGAAGAAGTTGGAAGGGGCATGTACAATACGTGTCTACGTCACCGCAGTTAACGCAATGAGACGAGTTCCTAGAGCAAGTGGTTGCTTCTCCCCAAGACATGCTGACTTTCACATTGGTTACGTGGTACAGTCACCACACAAGGGTATTGGACTGTAAGCAACGGTGCATGAAAACGGACAGTCATTAATAGAGTGAAACACATCAGTACGATGCATGGATGCTTCGTTGCGTAAAACCATAATGATGTGAAGCTTGTGTTGTTCTCAGAGATGGCTGATTGATAATTAGACGTCTCGTTGCCAGATTGAGCAACACCATCAGTGCGCCTGCCCAGGGCCTGGTTCGCAGAGCTTCGTACGCTACATCTAGGTTCAGATGCTTATTGATGGTGTTCCGCTTTGAATGCTAAGCTATAATAAGCTCATATGCCCGTCAGTTTTGTGCTTTTCTGTCGGTTGACTACTAGAGGTAATAAAAATCCCGCTATTATTTCAAATAGAACATAGAGTTAGGGCAACGTGGTTCACACTACTACTGTTACATTTGCGGAGGTGTTGTGATGCTATTTGTGGTGCTATGCAACGCAGATTGGAGCCTTTTAAATACGAGTTAGATTTGAGCAGATTAAAGAGATGGTAGTCCTCTATCTGTTTCAGTTACGGTGTTCCACTGTTCTGAATGGTTTATAAAGAGTTAACGCGTAGATGCGGTAGATCAGAAGCGGGCCAGTATGTCTTAACTTTTTAGTAGACTCGCGCTTACAGTGGTCTAACAGTAATCATTTATGGGAGAATACCTGAAAACGTTATCTATCCGTCGTTCGTAACTCCCCTGGTGAACTGGATACTATAAATGCGTAGTTGGTTGGTTGCTGTGTTGCTTCTAACCTGGAATTTTGAGAACGGCGACGGTGTCGCAACGTAAAGTATTCAAAATGTTGGTTTTGCGGTCGGCAGTGTCATTTGCCATAGTGCCTACATCACTGACTCGAGTAACAATAAAGAGAGCACTTATCTCATGAATGTGCCTTATATCTTCTTGTACATTTAGCCGTCAAAAGTGAAATGTGTTGTTAGATAGAAGTATAGCGAATCCATCATGTGTCGATTTTACTGCCCGTAGAAAAAGATTAAAAGACATCAACAGTACGCCGGTACACCGTGCCGACGCTTCGCTGCCGCGCAACCACCAACAGTCGCACGTGGGCTAAGGATACTGCGAGAGTTGACTGGTCCCTACTCAGTTTCGAACCCGCGCCCTCACATTACAAGACAAGCTTATGATCCTTAAAACTACGTACGGCAACTACCCGGTACCCAGAGGATAACACAGCGTCAGACAATTTAAACACGCAATGTTACTAAAATATGGCAGCAAACATGTCAGTGGCTCCGACGGCGAGCCATGTCTTACGAAGTCTCGAGCCAACTCGGAAGGCACGAAGAAATAAAAGCCCAGAATCCAAATATAGTGAGTTCATGTCCCGCTGATAAGCTAACTTCTGCCCACTCGAGACTTGCGCAACCCAACATCCGGTAGGCAAGGGTCTCCTCGCTAAGCGGTGACCGAGTAAGTGTAGGAAGTGCCCAAACCAACGCAACTCATTCAGTGCTATCAGTTGTTCTAAGAAATTACCCTGATTATGGCCGCCCAGTATTCAGCTACGCAAATCAACCGTGCGGACAAGCTGGTGGGATCTAAAATCAGTACGACTGCGCAGGCAAGGATAATCAGAATCTTGAAGGCCCCTCCAGCTGCTCAGACTGAAGATACAAAGTACCACCTACATAGGTAAAACGGTCATAAATGGGGCCTTGTACATACAGCTTCACAGACCGAGAAAATTTTACTTCTGACACCACAGATGCCGCAATTTCAAGGTATTTTAGCCACCAAAATACATGAATCAATAACCTTTATGCATGGCAATACATCTGTATGACTCAAGGTCGAGGTTTCCAGTAGTGTTAAAACAGGATAACGTTACAACAGTATACAAAGACAATAGTCCGGAATGAAGAACTTTGAAAAGCAAGTGAAACCGCACACACAGTCGGACTATGTGTCCTACATGCCGAGTGTCCCGCGAATAGTGGAAGCACATAGATCCAGAATGTTGAACAATGAAAGACAAAGGGACATCAGCTGACTTGCTGCAGCAGGATAAATAAATCGGTGGTTGTTCAGTATCACGGAATTGTGGTTGCATATATCTGGAAATCGCCACCGCATGTGGACGGATGCCATATTTTCCGGGGGCACGAAGCAGTACGTACCCTCGTTGCAATCCGGAGGTCCCAGGTTCGAAACTGCGTACGTGCAGACGAGCACAAGGTATATGCAACCCTCGCGCAACTATTCGTGGTCGCGTGGCAACGAGGCGTTGGTTCGGCGTGCCGGCGTACACCTGATGTCTTTTCTTCTCTTCCGTCTGAAGGTTTATTCCACGCACTCTGCGTCACAGACTGCAACACCATAACGTACGCGGTACTCTCTTTCTCAGAATGGGCAACTCGGGTTTGATAAAGTAATTAGAGGCAAGTATTTTTAGTTCTGGTGTAATCTGAGTACCCCGACAGTCATAAGTTGCTCCGCGATGCCATTTTACCACTGCAGGCTTGGCGTAGCTAGTTCGAGAACTAGCTGAGCGTCACTGACCCTGATTTTGGATGCGCAGCACAGGTCGACATGTGGCTTTTCTAATGTGCGTGCAGTTGCAGTCTGCTGACTTAAGGTACGAAGTTTAAACGCTGTGGCAGAAAAATGGCAGGGTGACCAGATGAAGGGGTTTGAGGCAAGAGCGCAAAGGGAGCTGGGGCTTCGGATGGCAGAACTCCAATGGCACTGCAACTGTCGTCAGTTAAACTGAGGATTTTAGGAAGAAAATAAGCAATGGGATCGTACGGAAAGTAAGAGAAGCAGGTACAGAAAGGAGGCACAAGCAACCTATTATTGCTTGTCCGTCCTAATGCAGGTAGTAGATAAAGTACCCATTTGAAACTGCATTAAGTCTGATACAGGAGTTGAGGACAACTTCAGTTGTTTACGGTTGCAATGGTTCGGGGTACTGCCAGGGTGACTAATCCCAGACAGAACGATCGGGATTTTTGATCAAAGTCTTCGACACAAAAGTCCGGCTCCAAAGCAGTGAAAAGACAGCAATGATAAGGTTTCACAGATAATTGCCATTTCAGTTTCAACCTCCCAACCAGGAGAGCAAGAAGCCCAATTTCGTGTGACCTCCAACATGGGCTAATCTGGCAGAAGTCATCATGAGACAATACCCAGTGTCCACTAAGTACGGAAATCGTTGCACCACCCTAGAGTCCGGTCTCGTCACAAATGGCTCTGGGAGTCGCAATGATGTTGTTGCGCGTCCTGGCGAAGAAACGTCTGTAAACTAATCAGCTAGCTCGGAGAAAAACCCAAGCTCCACATCTACACTCCGAGCTACAGAAATGTCAACTATTGTAACCATAATGGTCCTACCAATGAGCAATAATAAGTGACGGAGAGTCAGTCATTTGAGGCTAAGTAGTAGATTGGGGATTCAGGTCATGCGCAACTTTGATTGCCCCGGCGACAATTGGCCAGCACCAACAATGGAAAATGGTCCTTGGATACAGGTGTTTTGTTCAAGCTCATTAGCAACAGTTCGCGTCGCATGTTTCGATAGCAGGATGACGTTCAAACAATCAAGTAGACGACGATGACGTAATAGGAATGTAACTTAGAGGTTGGGGAAGGTGCGCCCCCTATCCGAACACGTAGATCAAAGCGTGAAATTAAAGTTGGCTGTTATCTGCAAATGATTACCCCATAGACACTCGCATCATATCTGTGCATCAAGAGTTTGAAGAGCAGTCTGTTGATCTCGATTGCACCAGTGAACCCTATCTCACATGGCCTTGCCAGCAACGTGGCTGGCTCGTCGAACAACTTCCCTGTGGTGCCAGCTGGGTACTTCGGGTTAATCTCGTTGCAGCGAATGGTTCAGTGGAAGTATTTCAGGACGTTGTGGATTTCCGCCTAGCAAGTGTTCTCCCTATGAAAAACTAAAAAAAGTATTTAACAACGCTGCGACGTGGCTGATGTGACTCGCCATTAAAGAAAGTCACTGGGTTTTGTATATTCATAAGGTTTCTCACTCAAAGGATGCCTGTCATCCAAGTTTCACTTTCACCCCTTCGTACGCAGACGATGCGACCGAACACGATCACAACAGCAGCGATATATTTGCAGATGACAGTAACACAGCT